GCCGTGGTCCACTCGCCACTCTGCCTGCCCCCGCTGGGCCCGTTCCCCTTTGCGACCGACACCGACCGGACTGTCGCTTTTGCCTGCCTGTCCGCGTTGCATCGGACCGTCAGCTTTGCCCTCTGCCTGCCCTTGCTACCGGGTTCCCCAACCTGGGACCCGGGTCTCGTGTGGGGCGTCACGCGAGACCCGCTGTTTTCTTTTGTAGTATAGAGATTATGAAGAAAGAAGAAGAAGAAGAAGAAGAAGAAGAAAAAAGGCTCCATGAGTCCGCATACTGGTGACGGAAAAAAAAGGGACAGGTTCCATGTATGCAAAACAGCAGTCAATCAGTTCAAGGTATGTGAGCATCGAGAAGTTGTGAAAACATTTGGGACCTTTGGGTCCCATCGAAAAGTAGTGAAAACATAGGAACAGACCCTGTGCTTTCACCACCACTGATTCAGAGGGAGGGCTATGTATGCCATTTTTCCAATGTACGAACTGAACCAATGTGTGAACTGGACACTGTGGCCGATTTTTTACTTGTTCCTGGATGGAATTGAGGCCGGATGCGCACAGGTTGGCGGAATGTGTGAACTGAAACAATCAGTAGACTTGCCCCTCTGTATGTTGTCCCGCCCAGAGTCAAAATGGTGCTGGGACAGAGTCAAAAACCTCTGGTCCTTGGGGAAAAAAAGGCGGCCTTCTGGTCCTCCCTGTTTCCGGTCCCATTTTCCTCACTCCCTTTACAAACACTCCTTCCCCTCAACATGGCCACTTACCCTACAAAAAGGAGAAAGGATGGAGTTCAGGATCACCAGGAAAGCCGCACTCGGATCATCTGGACACGAAGATGCCGCAAGACCATCGCGAGACCGGAAGCGGGAAGAGAAGCGGCCTGGTCTGGATCCCCAAGGGGTTGATAGAGACACAAATCCATCGCAAGCGGAACAGTGTTCGAAACAAAGAAAAAAGACGAACCGAACAAGTCGGAAAACGAGAAAACCCACTTCGCCTGAAGCTGGATTGTTCAATGAAAAATCGCAGTGATGGACGGCGACCATCGCAGATGGAACGGCCATCGAATTGGTGATGCTTGTAACAGCCACCTAGATTTGCTATGGCACAATCACAAATTAAGTACTGGATGCGAATTTCAGGTCCAAATAAGAAAGGAGGAAAGAAATGAGAAAGAAAAGGAGAAGAGAGACGAGACGAGAAGAGAGGAGTGAAAGGGAAAGTAGGAGAAGAAGAAGAAGCAGCAGCAGAAGAAGAAGAAGAAGTAGAAGTAAGGAAGAGGAAACAGAAGAAGTGGAAGAAGAAGAAGAAGAAGACAAAGAAGAAGACAAGGAGGCTGAAGAAGAAGTTGCAGTAGAAAGAAGCACGCTCAAAGCACGACACAGAGAGAAGTCCCGAACGTGACCGAGGCGGAATCATATTGCTTATAAACCCACCTACATGTACAAGTTAACGGAAAAAAAATGTCGTCATAGTTGACCAGGTGAATGGCACAGCGACCCCATTCCAATTGGACAAAGTTCAGATCCACCAACACCCAGGCCGCGGGATTAGCAGGGGTATTCTCTCAAAGGCAGCAAATGGGTGCATAGTGCACAGCACCCATGGAAATGGTTCAAATGGATCTCTTTTTTTTTTTTTTTTTTTTTTTTTTGAA